TATTTTTCCATGAAATAATACACTGTATTTTTGGGTCACACTCATAGTGATGACGCACTCCACCCTCTTACAGAAAATTCACCAATGAGGATCGACAGCAAATGAGCTTTATTGCTATTTTATTTCCATTAGCACTATATATGCGTTATGTACAAAAAAAGGCATCACATTCCTGAACGTAATGAATATTACAATACCCCGGGCATTGATATCTGACATAGTTGAAAAACATCCTATGCTAAGGTAAGTAGCATGACTTTTATATGCTTAAAAATCGTGTTACTAGTCTATAAAGAAGCAATCAGCCATTTCTTTAAGGTTCTGTTACCTTGATGAAGCAATATTGTATTGTTTCTACATAAGATAGATTAAACCCAAATATTTTACAGAATTACAAAACTTCTAGGAGTATTTCATTTTACTTTTTAAGCCTTTTTTTCACGTGTTCTTTGATAACGGTGGTGGACACTAAACATGTGAAAGTGTTCCACAAATTTACTGATGAAGAGAGATTAGGGAAGAAGAAAGATTTGTTATATTACTTGTAATTTCGTCTTCCTTTATTGAAGGTTTGGTACGTGTGAGTATGCTATAAAATCATATAAAACAAAATTTGCACATTAAGTAGAAGGTCATTATTTTGGGGGTCTTTTCCCTTTAATACTTTAAAACATCGAAGATGGATTTATTTTTTGGTATATAGATGATATAGACTTTGACCAATTTAAGATCTTACAATGAAAGGTACTCTAAGTTCAAGATGCATCAAACTATATAGATAATAGTTAAAATAATAAATTATATATATAACTAAGGCAATCCTATATAAGAAACTGACTAGAAATAATTAAGTGATAAGTTATTACGCAATAGAACTAACACTTACAGTGGGGTAACCTGGCTGTCAATTTTTTTGGGGGGAAGAGGGAGATATAACTCAAATAATATCTCACATGTTCAATCAGCTCAGCCCCCCAGTGGCACAGCGGTATGTTTGCGAACTTACAACGCTAGAATCCGGGATTCGATACCCATTGTGTAGCTTTGTGTTTAACTTAAAACAAATCAAATCAGTCAGCTCAGTGGATTTAGGTTATTCCTAAATCAATATACTAATCCAACAATTAAAATTTTTCTTCATAAGTGTAACAAGCTGAGGTACCCGTTCTTTGTCAGGGTTATGAACTTAAAACAAAATGTGAAGGGTGTGCTTTGATAAATAATGCAAAAATCCTAACTTTCACACAATGTATTTATAACATAAGATATTACTACAGTATTCATTATTACCTCACCAAAAGTTTTGTATAAGTTTTAAGAACTCACTATGTATGTACTTAAAACATGGTATACACTGTGTGATGGTCAGAGTGACTCAGTAGGAAGAAGTAGTAGCGGTAGGGGTGCTTTCTGTTACGCGATTTTAACACCCACCTCTGAATGTCCTTCCACACTGTTTCACGTTATTAATTAATTGACGGTCATTAGCCGCAGAAGTATCTTATGGGATGAAATTGTAAGGTCACGGGTTAAAGTAGGAAGTGGGTATAACTCAAGAAACGGCTCTTCATATCAGTGTTATGGTGGCTATGGTCGTATCAACTTCATCTAGGTTTATGCATTACTGCAATAGCAGCGACCATTTTTTCATTGCATTCTTCCATAGAGAGTGCTAGAGCACTCTCTGAGATATGTAAGACGTTTGTGTGCTCTTCCCCACACTGTATGAATGCTGTGTTATAGAAAATTTAATGTGTGTGTGTATGTTTTCTTATAGTAAAGCCACATCGAGTAATTTGCTGTGTCCACCGAGGGGAATCGAACCCCTGATTTTAGTGTTGTAACCCCGAATACTTACCGTTGTCCCACCAGAGGACGGAAAACTTAATAAAGTTTTCTGTTTGGGGTAAGAACGTGGCGCTGCATATGAATGTAGTTAACGTTAACTTACGTCAAAGATAATAAACGCTCAATAACAGCAATAATAGGTGAATGAGGGGGGGTTGTAAATCCTCCATTAACATGCCACTTCTTCCAGACTATTATTCCACAAAGTTTGGTTGAGATTGGCCAAGTGACTTAGGAGTAGTTAGATAATGGACAAACAGACAGACACACATGTGTTATGTATGTAGATAAGAGTTAATGAAATTAACTACAAAGGAAAAGGGAAATAGATGAGCATATAAACAGCTTTCATTCTGTTTATACATCATTAATATTTCCCAATTATAAATTATCGTAAATCAAGACTTTCATCTCTCAAGATCGAATGCTGCACCTCTCTCATGCCAAACGTGCACTTTATCATTGCATTTAAAAGCATGACCTCATAGATATTTACAGTAAGACTTAAAAAAGAAGTCAAAACTGTAACGAATTTGTTGTTATATATTTATTTTAATGTTAACGTTTGTTTGGAATGAATTTATATTTAAAAACATACATAGCTTATAGTATTAGATATGTATTGCGAAACTCCCGCCTATTCTCCAAAGTTGTAGAAGATTCTCGAGAATAAGAATCAAAAGTATATGTGCGTACGTAAACGCTTTAATTTGCATTGTTGCGTAATCTGAATTTTCTAGAAAATCTTCCCACGCCTATAAATATAACCAACGCGACGCGCCAAGATGAGAGTGTCTATTAGTAGTTCGCTATAATCAGTGTGCTATAAACTTCGAAAGCTATAACTGTGATTTTTATAACGCTTATCAATCGGAAAACTTGAGATATTTGACCAGGAATATTTATAAATTTCGAACATTACAAATCGTTTGACTTCAGTGGATTCTCATTGGACATTAATATTTTTTACGAAAACATTACCTAACTTCAACAGTGGAAAACCTAGCATGTGTGGTCAAGGACAAAGCTAGCTAGCTTCTCGGCGAATCATACTTACATCAACTCGTAATTAATTCGCTCATCGTAAACCTTCAATAAGATATCATGGGAGTTCCAAACTAGAAAGAATATTTTATGTTGTTTGTAAGTTTGTGAAACTTGTTTATAAATCTTTGTTTGTAATAACTATTTGTAATAATTGTTACTGTAAATTGTTTTGTTGTGCGTATATTAAAACGTATTTGTGTTAAAAACGAAGACGGTGTATATCAATCTTGTTGGCAAATATCGTAAATTGACTAATATGTCGACATATATTTAACTACTAAATCCAAAGTACAATTTAACTACTAAATTTAAACTATCATTTAACTCAACTTCGGTCTATTCGAAATTCTAATACGTAACAAAATTCTTCAAACTACCTGGCTATCACAATGTCAAGATTTTGTAATAGTAAAAGTACAAACACCAGATTCTGAGTACCCCAACTTTCTTTTGTTTGTTGTGTAGTTCACTTAAAGTATAAGGGGACAAACCAATCGTTATTAAAAACTCTGTTTTTTGGCCAGAATATGCTTATCCAGATGCTTAAATACACATTGTATAGCCCTCGTTGACTCCAGTATAATTTTAGGCTATAAAAACAGTATGGAGTTATAGTTGCTTCATTTTGTATCTTCAGCATTAAGTTTTTATTCCATGCAAATATAATATAAAAAATAAAATTTTATAAAGACAAGTAGGGATCGATATATATACGTAACCTAGCTAGCTATAGTAATATAGAAAGTTTTAATGCTACAAAAATGATTGAAACAAGAAAGACAAAATTACAAACAATTTTTATCCCTACTTTGGCAAATCATTGTAACTATTTTAGTCTGAGCTAAAGTAGGGATAAAATATTTTATTATACATGTTTGTTTCTTTTTTATTAGCTATATTTTTTGCGCCAGTATTCCCCGATTCAATTTTATTACTCATTGGGATCTCTGTCAACCTACCCTCAAATTTAATTATATGCCTAAAGAAGTGCATCGTCCGTTTGATACACACATACACACACTAGTATCCATTTCGGTACAAGGCAAGAATCATTGGGACCCCAGACAGAAGAGTTCTATAAAAGAATTAGAGCGATAAGTTTCGTCATTTTTTCTGTTCGCTTGTCTGGAAAAGTCACTTACTTACTTAAATGAAAATTCGTTAAAATAATTAAATTTTTATTCACTCCATAAACACGTGTATGGTGATTTAGGCGGCTATATTTGCTTTAGTTTTGCTCAGCCAGTACTGTGAAATGGCTATTGTTAATATTCAAAGATTTTAAAGGTGGCTTTAAACGGGCGATTTTTATGGCCGCCATTTTGTTTCATCACGATCCCTACTATTAAGTACTACTGGACTTAATGATATGGCCTTATGTTTTGCACAAATAACTTCTAAGTTACTATTTGTCATATAGCAGTTTGAAATTAAACACAAAAAGAAAAAACAACAACAAGCTTTCCTAATTACCCATCAGGCATCAGGCGTTACTTTCTTTAGTTTGTAAAAACCTGAGAATCACGCATCGGCGTTTTAATGAATTAATGTACGTGTGGTTGCACTTTCATCCTCTACGAGGCGCCATTGTGTCTTTCATGTAATGATCACAGTCACGATGGAAGCTTGTAGTTTTGGCTTGATAAATTGTACATGTCAAACGAAAACTTCCTCTCATCGTTCAGTATGCAGAGTTCATCGACTAACATGTAATGTGAAGGCATGTGCTCCACTATGATGGGGTTTTTTCTTCTGTTTATATCGTGTATTCCGATTTGATGCGTGCAATACGTTTATACATTTTTACGTACGTTTTCTTGATGCACAGATCTATATTTCATTCCAAACTAGCTGTTCTTAATTATTCGATAAATGAATGTCAAAAGACAGAGAAATAAAGTATATAATATGTATGGAAACTAATAGACATTTGTCCCTCATATTATAACACAGAACATTATAATTCCTCAAGATTCGCTGGTATTTAATTTTACTTTATTCTAATAATTACAAATAAATATTGTTTTAATTTCCCTGTATAATCTGCTTTTTGGAAAAATGTGAAAATTACAATCACAGCTTGTTTTTATATACATTTTATGTAGGCATAAGCGGAAAGTCCAGAACTTTCTACCTTGTAAGAGTGAACACCAACCTTCGTGTGATATTCCCAGTTCTAATGGAGTGACTTATGATGACGTACTAATCAGTCATCATCCTACTCGGATACCTACAGTTGGACCGAACAGCCAAAATCTCACTCCCATCGAAGTAAGTTGTATTCCTAATAATGTTTAAATAAATTTGTACCACAAACACAAACTCTCGTATTGTTAGATTGTTACATAGATGTTGTACAATAATCTGTTGTTGTTTTTTTGTTTTTTGTGGTATGATTAACTCAAATCTCTTTTGGATATACTAATTAGAAAATCTATAGGATACTGGAAGGTTGTTGTAATTGTATATTTACCAGTACTGATCATTCATCTTAATATTGCCTTTAAAACACTTTAATGCTTAGTTGTGTAATACTTAAGCTTGTGTTGAAAAACCAAAGGACCAATATCAGCAACACTTCTTCCTGAGTTGTTTACTAAGTGAATTACACAGCAGAGGAAAATCTGTTCGTTTCAGCAAAAACTATTGTGACAGTTTTTACATGGAAATCTTAATCTAAACTCATCTTATCATTTGTAAGAATCTTTGATTATGATCACAGTAAATTATTGTTTTTAACGAATAAAAGTGAGTGAATCGAATGATTTTTTAGCCTTCATATATTACAAGAATGAGAAAATAGGGTATTTCTCTTTTCTTATAAAGATATGTAAACCACACACACACACACACACACACACTATCGTATTAAACTAATCGAGTGAAGAATATTCCACCAAGACTGCATCCAATATAAAATTTACTTTTAATCTTAGATCAAAAGTAACTTTTTTGTTGTGATAATTAAAATATTTTAATCTGTTTGAGATTTTCCCATATATTCGTTTTATTTCTTCTAGTAATTGAAAATTTCTTGTGAACTTTTAATAAAAAGATATATTGTTAAATAATCGATCACGATTTTTTTTGTCCACTACTGTTTACTTTTTTTTTTAACTGAAAGGAAGTGCAGGTTGTCAGGTTTTCTGTTTTATTGTTTATCTATTTTTTATTCTATATAATTTTGTAGTGTCATGACTTTATTAACATTGTTTTAATTGTTTTTCATTAGCAGTTTTTGGATGTCAAATATGGCGGCTATGGACCATCTCAGTTTTCCCACGCCAATTTTGCTTTCTCGGGTAAACAAATGGGAAGTATGATTTACAACAAAAGCAAAGAAAACTTTAATCCTATATATGAGGAGGTTTCTGGGGGATCAGACGGGAAGGTAGAACATCGCAGTGGAGACTCAGATATTGAAGATAGCGAAACAGAAGCTCGAATAATTGGAAGTGAAGACGAATTCGCAGAAGACGAATTAAGTCTCGCAGAGTTCCCCACAGAAGCATCTCAAGTCGGTTCATGTACCATTAATCTTCAGGGTTCCACTGAAGGAAACTTGTGTTCTAATGTGGCTTCCGGATCTAGTGAAGGCGCGTTTGCTGACCACTCTGACTCTCGAGAACTACGTGGACGCTTCCGTGGTGATAAGGGTGGATGTACAGCTCGAAAAAATGGTGGCCACTCTTTGGAACACAATCGAAATGTACATGTTAGTGAAGGAGTTCATGCCAAACATCAATATTATTTGGATAAAATCACGAATGGTACTGATCAAGATCCCAGTTTACAAGGAAGGGTTAATGACCCATTTCCACAGTACAGTATGAAACCCGAAAACCACCGAAACAAATCCGGTTTATTACTTAATACTAAGATAATCGCACGTGATTCAGGAAATCTTCGAAGTGGTAACAAAGAAATGCGCTCTGGTCATCCTACAGATAAACGATCCCAGAAACGTTCCACGGAATCCCTTGCTCCTCTTCCTAATCCTTTCACCCAGCATCAGGATCAGACACCGGCAGTATATAGTCCAACTCCAGGGTCAAAGTCTGGACGGCTGCCAGGTGCTGTCCTTTCTGAACTCAATCAAAGAATTGGTGGTTCTGGTAAAAGAACAGGAGTACATTCTGCGAATCAGTCTCGTAATAGCCCCATACTTAACAGCCAGCGGTCTATGGCTCCTGTAGAATTAGGAACATTTCGACCAACGTCAGGGGCCAAGCCCTTGCCCAATCCCATGAAGGACAACATATACGCATCAATAAATGAGGATCAATCTTACACTAATGAAGGCAGCTGCCAATACACTAGTCGAAGCCCTGGAAATACCCGACACAACATTAACAGATGGGGAGTGCCAAAGGACTGGAATAAAGCCTTAATCAGCCAACACATTCCACCTGCTCACAGTACCGAGGAACAAGAATCATACGGTGATATTAGACCTGCAAACGATTCCACAATAATAGGAACGTGATTACTTAAACATTTTGATTCGTTATTGAAATTTTATTCCACGTCATTTTTATCACGCCAGGCAATGCGGTAAAGATCACAGTACTTGCTGCAGGGCAACAGCTTCTTCTGATTTGCGGAGTTCAGTTCTGGCTGCTTATTTCCTTTTCTTTTCAGCCAAATGTGCTCATTTGTCAAAGTTTCAGATGTCATTCTTCAAGTTGCCCCAAATTTGTTAAATTCTTATTACGGAAATGAAATTTACTGACTGCTCACGGTAAATATTTAAGCTCTTCAAAAATATCAACATTTCTACTCGTGTGTAATGTTTGTAAATAATTTAAATGTTAAACCAAAAGAACATTTGCTTTGAACTAGACTCAAGTCTAGACGTAGCTTCTGCTTAGGTAACAAGTAAGATGTGTATTCTCTGTATAGTCAATACTGTGATATGTTCGTGTAAGCGGTATCTCAGATCTTGCAGGATCTATTGGCTTTATGTGGCTCGTTCGCCACCCTTGTATATAAATTTATGTATATCAAATGTAACTCTGTTTTGGGGAAAAGCCAAGGAATATATATATATATTTTTTTTTTAGTTGAAACAAGTACGTCCATTTCAATGCTATATAATATTCAGTTTCTATAGCTTGCCAATATACACGTGTATGTACGTTCTCTTTTCTAACGGTACAAATAGTTCTACTGCGATCTGGATAATTAATTTCTTTAATATAATGTAGATTGGATACGATATAAATTATGTTGTTTTGATTTTTCTAAAAATATCCGAAATGTGGAGTTATTAGATAATAATAATTTCGAGGATTAGTTATATAAAAATGAAGAAGAATATGTTGGATAATTATGATGCATCCTGTAGTCTTGTCCCTGATAATCGACAAAAACTTAGTCCCAATCGGATAACAAAGCGTGCACAATCAATTTTCTGCATGTAGAATGCCTGAGGTAGGCTTTTAATTGATTGTCCAAATTCAGTACGGTGAAAATCCTGCCATCTGCTATACAAGAACTAGAACTGTATTGTTAGGAACATATGTGCATCAACAAAATTGATTTATTTGAAATTCTTACATAAAAAACATGAAGACCAAAAAAAGAAATAACAGCATAACTTCTCAGGGGTGTACGTTATTAGATATGATTAAAAGTTCTTGCTTTATTATCGGGATGGTTTTTAGTTTTCAGAAGGGAAAAAACAACACAAGTAATGTGGATAATTTGTATACGTAAGCAAAACACTTAAATGTCGATAATATAGATCATACTTGGGCCATAGTTGAAACTTGAAAGTGCGAAATTATAATTTATATATCAAATGTTTCGTTAGGTTGTTATTATTTTTAAATATATATATTTTGCTGCGCATATTAAGAATCAAACAGTCTTCAAAATGTTTTTTTCCAACATTAGACAAACCAATTCTGGGAGTAGCGACATCTATAAAGTGAATTTAATAAATGATAATAAAAGCCTACAAAAAGTGTATAATGAGGAATTCATGAATAATAACGAGTTAGTATTGATGTTTGAAATAAACCGTAAAATGCTAATACTTTTGTATTTATGTAGTTTCTGTTTATGTGGTAAAAAGTACGCTCGAAGCGTTTTTCATTGGTAAACACTTAATACTTTCTGTTTTGCAAAGATAAAATTATCAACGACATATTCTAGCTGTGGTTCTTCCTCCTTGACAAGTAAAGTTAGCGTAGTGAAAACAATTAAAACTTGGTCACATAATCGTAGTTAATCATAATATCAAAATAACAAGAGAATTGAGAAAAAACAAGACAATTGTACTTTTCACAAATACATCATTTATTGCGACCGTGGTTTCGCCAGTAAAGGCATCATCAGGTACAACTGGCGAAACCACGGTCGTAATAAATGATGTATTTGTGAAATGCATAATTATCTTGTTTTCCTCAATTCTGTAATTATGGAGTTTCACCAAGTACCGCTGGTTTCAATTATCAATTATATCAAATAAACAAGTTTTCTCTGCGGTGACGAAAATATTATTTTTAATGTCAAGTTTATCAGCAGCGTTGCTCCTTCTCAATAATTTAATTAACCTTGAAATTAAGCTTAATTATATAATCCGTTTAAATTTCCGAATTTGATTTTGAAAATTAAGTCAGATGAGGTCAATAAATAATTAGGAACAACACTACTTATCAAGTCTTTGAGACGAACTTACGGACTTCAGAAATTGAAAGAAAGGTTTAAACCGAATCATTTGATATTATGCTTACTAAAAAAGTCCAATTGCAACTACAACTTGAAAGGTTTGTATGTGAAGAGATTGTATACGTTATATTAAAACGATTTTGGAGGTTCATCACGTTGTTATATTACATGTCGCTCCATCCGGCCATTCTCTACCTGACCACCATACATCTTGACAATAATCCTGCAGCGTAACTTTCATTGCAAAAGGCTCTGTCATAAGGCTGTTATGTTCAAAACACACCACTTCTCCTTGTATGTGTCACAATACATCTAGTGTAAGAAAAACCGACGGTTTGTCAGTGCTTGTTTCATTAGTCCGATCGCACAGAAATCCATAGACGATGTGTCCTGCTACATGACCAGAATGGAATATCTTCGTATGAAATAGTATTAATACCCGTTTCATTCTGGGCCTGGCATAGCCATGTGGTTGGGGCGCTCGACTCGCAATCTGTGGGTCGTGAGTTCGACATCCGTCACCGAACATGCTCGCTTATTCAGCCATAGGGACGTTTTAATATGACGGTCAATTCCACTACGCGATGATAAAGAAGTATCCCAAGAGTAGCTGCCTTTCCTCTATTCTGTTACTCCGTCCACATTCCCCAAACAAAAGTAGTCTAGTAGGATCTAAGTGTGGATTGTTTGTTTGTTGAATTTCAATTATTTGTATTTGGTTAAATAGGCCATAATGTGTCTTACTACGGCTGAGGTACGATTTCTTGCAGGTCTCTATCTAGACGGCCCCAGTTTTCCATGCTACTTTGTTTTCCAATGCCATTAATTACAAATGATATACCCGTCTTAAAAAATTCTAAACCCCCGATCTGAACACATTTTTATTATCTGAGTGTATGAATATCTTGCGTCGAAAAGGGCTGTTATATTTGTTTGTTTGTTTTGAATTTCGCGCAAAGCTACACGAGGACTATCTGCGCTAGCCGTCCCTAATTTAGCAGTGTAAGAATAGAGGGAAGGCAGCTATTCATCACCACCCACCGCCAACTCTTGGGCTACTCTTTTACCAACGAATAGTGGGATTGACCGTCATATTATAACGTCCCCAAGGCTGAAAGGGCGAGCATGTTTGGTGTGACGGGGATTCGAACCCACGACCCTCAGATTGCGAGTCAAGCGCCATAACCACTGGCCACGCCATGCCCGTTATTACAGAGCCTGAAATAATACTGAGTAGTTTTAAAATAAACAACTCGTTGCACTTTAATACTGAAAGGCTTTTTTTTTTCTCAACCACACACGAGTGATTGACTAAATCGTGTCTCGCTTCTCTTAAAGTAACGTTTTTGGTTAAGTAATCCTGATCAACAGCATGAAAAGCATAGACGTTTTTGGTTAAGTAATTCTGACCAACAGCATGAAAAGCATAGACGTTTTTGGTTAAGTAATTCTGGCCAACAGCATGAAAAGCATAGACGTCTTTGGTTAAGTAATTCTGACCAACAGCATGAAAAGCATAGACGTTTTTGGTTAAGTAATCCTGATCAACAGCATGAAAAGCATAGACGTTTTTGGTTAAGTAATTCTGACCAACAGCATGAAAAGCATAGACGTTTTTGGTTAAGTAATTCTGACCAACAGCATGAAAAGCATAGACGTTTTTGGTTAAATAATTCCGATAAACAGCATGAAAACCATAATTTCTAAAACGTGAATAAGATAAAACTTACCTGTTTAATAGTCGCATATAAGAGTATTTCATTAAATATGAAACAAGTTTGGTATATTTAATTACGTTCTGAAGGTCTGTATGATTTTAATTATATTCCAGTCCCTAGTAATAAGCCTCCATTAGCTAAGTCCACAAGGATTTAGATTTATATCTTAACTAATTTTATAAATACTCGGCGAAAGACGTTCCAAGAGCTATCTTAGTAACCAGTGACTTGGACTTATGCATTAAAGACCTTATCTGAATTCCTAGATAATCTTATGCCCCAAAGTGCTATCTAAGTCCAAAGTGGCTTATATTTATTGCCTCTAAAAGCATTTGAGACTCCAGTGACCTAGTTTCAAACAACTGAATCCCGAGAAACGTAGACATGTGACTAAAAAAGTTAAATTCCTAATGACTTAGAATTTTTCTTCCAAGTGACTGGAACTATTTTAGTTCCAGTGACTTAGATCTATGCCGCAAAGAGCTACCTGAACCCATAGTGACTGGAAGTATTTTAGTTCCAGTGACTTAGATCTATGCCGCAAAGAGCTACCTGAACCCATAGTAACTGGAACTATTTTAGTTCCAGTGACTTAGATCTATGCCGCAAAGAGCTACCTGAACCCATAGTGACTGGAACTATTTTAGTTCCAGTGACTTAGATCTATGCCGCAAAGAGCTACCTGAACCCATAGTGACTGGAACTATTTTAGTTCCAGTGACTTAGATCTA